TGCCGCCTTCCCACAGGTGATGCATCCTCTCAGTGGCATCGTGGGTTCTGGCGCTGGGCTGCAGGCATCGAATCTAAGCACGACTCAGTGGGGATGCTGTGATGAACCGCTGGGCTGTGCAGGGTCCTCCAGGCAGGTTGCCTGTCCGCAGCCCGGCACAATGTGGTCGGCGCCTCCCACTGGACGTCGCCGGGGCCTGAGGCCGCCGCGAGCTGGCTCTCCATTTCTTGGGGGACGCATCTGCTTCCGGGAGGATGGGGGTTTGAATCGGGATTCAGGTGCTTCGGCGTTCGGCCTCAGTGCAAGAAGCTTCATCGCACTCCTTGTCGACACCGCTCAGGTCCTGTTAAGAACTTCCGAGGAATCGGATACTTCCTTTTCCTGTCTCAGAGGGCAGCTGCATGCAGTCGCTTAACGCTGTCCAGTAGGCTTCCCAGCCTTGTTTGGTGAAATGGTGACGGTCACATTGGCTCGGGCTTGGCTCAAAGTAGTATCCACGTAAGTCAACTATGCAAGTGTTCAACCATGCTCCCGCCGACGCCGCCTGCGCGTCCTTTACAGCTTCAGCATAGAGGCGACTCAGCGGGTTTAGAATAGCGGAGCCCTCGTGCACCAGGCGAGGACAATCAGGATTCGTGCGCCAAAGACGAGCTACCACGTCCAAGCCGTTCTCTCGGAAGCCTTGCAGCAGAGCAGACCAAACGTCTTCCGCTCTTGTTAACCAACCCCAGGTGCTCAAGTTCGTGGCCGAGATGTGGGCTCCAGCTTCAACTGTCATGTTATCCTGCGCCTCTGTCATCAACGAAACTCGCGTGCCAACGACCCCCTCGAGGACAGCCATAGAGTCCCACATTGAAGACTGAAGGAGCAGTATGTTCTCGCGCTTCGGAAGCAGCTGGAGAACGACTTGGGGCCAAATCCAGCGTGCCTGGTCAGTGATTGGAAGAATACCTCTCTTTCCTTCGGCGTTGGGGTAGTGAGTGTGCATTCGGCGATTGGCAAAATCAAGGTACCAGGTTGGTTGCGGAGGAATGCTGTACAAACCTTGATGGAACACGAAAGCCGCACTTATGTTTCGTCTGCGGTCATGGCAAGTCATGACACTGGCCATTATGGGCCACCGAATCTTGCCATGATACTCGCTCGCGACAGGGTTCTCAATTTCCGTTGTTGGCAGTATCGAATTAAACTCTCCGGTCAGCCGCCTGCAGAAATACCGGAAGAAGCGCTCATCGTTCGAATCTCCTGCTATGACCAAGTTCCTGCCAATCAGGCTGCGACTGGGATCATGAGCAGGTGGGCTGTCGCTTTGCTTCAGAAAGGGCTGCTCCTGCTCCGTAAGTTTTGCATTCTTCGCCCAAAATGCCACTAATGTCAAGGACGTGATCGAAGCACAGACTGGAATCTGCACGCCAAGCCGCATTGCAGCATGCTCACGGCCAAGCTGGAGTTGTTTGGCTTAGGGTGCCTGTTGCTATTGCGGAGTAGTTGGTGGATTCATGCTATGCCCGAAAACAGTCTTAGCAAACATCATGAGAGTCATAGCCGACAGCTCTGCTTGCTTGCAGTGTTCCGAAGACAAACTAACGCCATGAGCAGAGTGTCTCAGAAAATCTCCCCACGCCCGAAATCATCGTGTCCGAAATGGTTTGGATGCGGCTGTAGACTTCGAGGCTTCATGATACGAGTATCTGGACAAGTCGGAGCATGCTGAATGGTCTCGGGATACCATATTGACATAGTTGTCCCGAAACCCAAATTCCGCCTGGGCACCAAGAGGCGCTACTCATTAACGAGCGCAGGATCTGGGGCGCAGAAACTTGCTTGAAGTTTGGTCAGCTTTTCAAGCTACAGTCCGAATTAAACCCAACCGCCCCTACCCGGCCCTACCCCCACCCCCCACCCCCACCCACCCCCGATGCTGAGCCAGCAGGCCCGGGAGGAGCATCTTGCATCGGCCGGAAGGGGTTGTCCTGCCAGAAAGTTCTGCCACGCACTGGCGCAGGTATGGGAAAAAAGAATCGCAAAAGGTGACATGCAAGGAGAGACAACAACAAAACCTGTACATAGCACTCGATGCCAACTCTGAAAATCCTCAGTAGGACCTGAATCAAGAATTCGTTGCTGCCCCACCTTCTGCACCCATTCGGGGCGGTGGCCTTGGAGCGATGAAAAACAAGGTGTGGGCTCGGGTACGTGCAAATGCCAACCAGCTGGGCAACATTCCATCAGCCGGGAGCCATATCCGGGCATGGACTCCTCAAACTTTCAACCGGAAAACTGATCAGTAAAAGCCTGCACTCTGGGGCACTTTGATGCTGCTCACAAGTTTGTTGTCCCTATCTGCAGTTGTGTCGCTGTCTCTGCTAGTGATGCAAACATACGTCTGCATCGACACGCTTGAACAAAACTTATATGCTAACCGCTATTAAGCGAAACATGAATACAACACGAATTGCAGACCCTGTCACATCGGCTGAGAGTCAAAGAACCAGGCACTCACTCGGAGGCTGTGTCGGCTGCAGCTATCATACATACCCCATTGCGCCTAGTGCCTATACACTTATGTAGTGATACTACAAGTATCAGTGTCTTCAACTCCTTGTTCTAATTGTCATACAGCATCCACCTCGGAACAGCGTTGAAGCTTGAAATGCCCCGTTGTCCTCCGACATCCCTCCAAGTGTTTATCATCAACGCCCCTGGGCCTGCGCAATTACCAAGGACCTAGCTTCCTAGATAGCTCCCCAAAACCCTGAAGCCTCGATCCTTGACGGTTTGCTGTCCAAGATGCGCCGACCATGGCCAATGAAACGCTCCAGGCCATTATGGAAGGCTGCCTGGCAGTCCGTAAATGGTACGGGAACCTCTGCCCTATGAACACCCTACGCCTGGGCTGCCTCAGCGAATCTCTGCAAGAACTGACCCGGAGCAGCACAGCTTTCGCCACAGTGTGCCTCGCGCTGCCGCCCATGGCGGACTTCGTGCTCGGGCCTGTCGTTGCTGCCGCTGTAGCATCTACACACAAGTAATACAAAGACTGAACTGAGGACGGCAAGCGTTCGCCCACTGCATGTCAGATTCACATGGGGCGGAAATGGATCCCTGTAGCAAGCAAAGATCTGCGACAAAGCTTTCATGCCGACACCGGTAAATGCATCGTGCGGTGCAGGAAACACAGCGTCATGTGGCAGGCAAGAACGTCATATCAGAGAATGGCATCCTGGGGTCCCAACGGTATGTGCACGCCCCAGCCGGATTGCCTTGAAATTTGACCAGTAGACATAACTACACAGAGATTGCAGCTTTCCTGGGAACCGTGGCTGATCCGGCTGTTGCGCACTGTTTGCGGTAAGTGAGATGTAGATCATGTAGAATCTACTCCGACGTCCAAACTGCGTTAGACATGGCTTACAGGAGCTGCATTGAGCACTTGCTGAGATCCACCATCCGAAGAGATGCCTTCAAGTTGTGTATACGTACCTTGGTGTCGTAACACGAATGCTGCTGCTGTCTGTGTGAGTGTGTGCATGGCTTCCTCATTGATCGGCAGAGGTCAGCTTGCTTTGGCAGTCCATCAGCTGCTGCTCTCTCGCTGTGCCCTGCAACGGCCCCATCCTCCCAGAAGCTTACTTGCCCCTTCTAAGATGAGGAAGTAAAGCCAGAACGTGAGAGAAGCAACCAGCGCTTATGCCCTGGCTTAACCTTGCTGGTGCTCTGATGAATAGGCTGATAGTATCCCAGCTCGTCAGCCCTGATATCGACAAGCCCCTTCTGAAAGCCAGGCATGCAGACTGGACCGTGGATCAGATTGGAAAACCAGGAATGTGCAATTCGGGCGGGGTCACTCCTTCGACGGCGAGGACACTGCGTCTAGGGAGAATCTATTGCAAGAAGGATCTGCAATGGGCACAACACTGAATCTCCAGACCCTAGAAAACGACTCCAGAACAGCTCCCAAAACCCTATAACATCTAAACCGCCTGAACATCCAGGACGCCTGAACCAACAGCCCTCCGTGAAACAGAACACCACGACAGCGACCTAGGAGCGAAGCAGATGGTCTTGGGCCGGCATCAGCTTCTTTCCTTTGGGTGAAGCCTGCGAACAATGCAAACACTGGTTTTGCGGGTTTTCAGGGAAACTTTGGGTAGTCACGAGGGGCCTCAGGATTGAACGCTTCCTTGCTATCTTGGGACCTTGTTGACCGACAGGCCTTATGCAGGAAACTTCTCTGTGGTTTCGGCACCTCGCCGCAGCTCGAACTTCTGACAGAGTAGCAGCTGGAAGCAAAAGCCCGAACCACATCTCCTTTCGAGACCTGGCCTGCCCGGAGGACATCCCAGCCGCTAGCATGTGGTCCTAAGTCTGTCAGCAAGGACTGGTCTGGATTTGCGAGCAGCCACCGACTTGCACAGCGAACTCCCACTGCTTTGGCGTTACTTCAAGTGGAGTGCTAGTCACGATGGTCCTGCCTCCCAGCATCTCCCAGCCTATGTTAGCCTCCCAACCCCCCGAGACTAAGGTTGGGGAATTACTCGCTCGAGTGTTCTCGAGTCACCTTCGTGCTGAAGTGCCGTCGGCCTGCACCCAGCCTGCCGCGGATTGCGAGATCGCGATCCGCCCAAAGGAGTCACAAAACATCGGGCCGTGTAGCATGAGGATTATCAGCCTTCTCAGGATGATGACTACAGCTACGACGACTAAAGTACGACTATCACCATGTCTCCATGGTTATCTTCTGCTATTGGCTGCTGTTGCCGATTCTACTGCTTCACCGAACAACACAATTAACATAGTCATCAACATTCGCATCATCACATCATCATCGTCAGCATCAGCATTCAACATCTCTAACTGTATCTGTCATTCATGTGTGCTATCAATCCTGGTCTGGTCGTTTTGTGATTCGGTAAACAACGTTCTCAACAATTCAACTCCACCAAAGTCGGCTGAAGCTGTCCTTCTGCGCCACTTACCTACAGTTCTATCAGACACTGTGTAGACATATATATGTATACAGAGAGAGAGGAGAGAGAGCGAGACTATGTGAATGTACTGTAATAGAATATCGGCCTACATGTGCAAGTGTGTTTGTGTTTTTGTACGTAAAGAACATGAATGTATGTATGCAAGAATGACTCTAATGCTAGATTCACAAACCTGTGTGTATTCGTATGCATACCTAAAGACTGTTCTGGTCATTTCGAAAGCGTCTGGCCCCTTGAACTAAGGATCCGAATTTTGCAACAAGAGCCTCCTCGGACTGGACATTTCACCAGAGTCTTCGAGCAATCCAAGTCGGGGTGGCCAGCCAAAGTCGCCAGGGCATATGTCCTGCCGGTCAAGTGACACCCGGGTTTAGCCCGGCTGAGGTCTGAACCCGCAATCCGGACGAATGTCAAACAGGACCTCTTGGTGGAGTCAAAGCCGGACACCCCGTGCCGTGGTCCCAATACTTGCGCCGATGCTGGGTTCCAGCCACTGGGCTAGCATTTTCTGCGCGACATCGGCCTCAAGCAACCCAGCCATTGAACCACCGATGAAAGTTGTTGCGCAAGATTCTGTTGATACTTCCCCTTGCTTACATGCGAACATGCCTTCATTGGGCCTGGGTTTCCGGCCTTCTTGTTCCAGCGAAGTGAGGACAAGGCAGCGTCCCAGGAACGACGCTGACACAAAAACATCCCCTGCAGAGACTATGTCCGGGCGCGCATGAAGGTCCTCGCGCTCGTGTCCAACGAATCCATGGATTCGTGGCGGGCCCTGCTGCAGGGCAGGTTGGGATAGTCTACTTCAACATGCCGGGACGGGCCCTTCTGATGTACTCTGCTGGGTTCATATGTCATCCGTGGTATCGAATGCTACCCACCACCAGACTCAATTAGATAGTCGCAGAACAGGAGCTCCCAATAAGGACGAAATCATGCTTGGACAAGGCATCAATCCTAATCCCGACATCCGCTGATGATATTATTGCTCTTATCCGCTCTCTTTCACACAGCCCGAGGGCGAACCTTCTCTCTTTCTCACTCACTCACTCACTCACTCACTCACTCACTCACTCACTCATTCACACACACACACACACTCTCTCTCTCTCTCTCTTGATTTCACTCTCCGGCTTCCCCACATGCGACCCTGCAGACAAAACATTCACTCAGGTCTCTCTCTCTCTCTCTCTATCCATCTCTCTCGCTCTCTACCCACAGTTTCGACAATGGCGGCGACGAGACTGCTGCTGCTGTTGCTGCTACAACAACGACGACGAGGACGGCGAGGACGACGAATGATCATGCAATCGTAAATAGTCAATGTAGCCGCTCAATAGTCATTTTTCGCTGAATAGTCAAATCAAATCTACCACCACCTCGACCACGACGACGTCCAGCACGAACGCAGCGCCAACAAAAACCATGGCTGGCCCCTTTAACAGCGGTTCTGATATTCACATGTCACAGAACCAATATGATAATCGTATGACGGCCAGCTCATTCAACCAATCCAGCTTCGTAAAATTTGCCCTGAGCTCGCGGACGATGCTGACCGCGACTCACGTAGCACACAAACACGCAAGTCTGTAGTAGTTCAGCCTTGCCAGTGCAAGTCATACATCCATCGGAAACACTACAGTCGTCAAGTTCTAGCAGTAAGACTCATCACAGCAATCAGCAGCCGCACGGCTGCAAAGCATTATCTCCCCACTTCCAAGAATCGGCCTTACATGCAAAACCAATGCTCAGATATGCTCAGCCAAGAACTCCAGGCTCCCCGACACCAGCCCCGTGCCGTCGATGCCGGCCCAGGAATGCTGGGTCCTGAGGTCGAAAAGATCCTTTGTGAAGTTTCTTGCGCAGGGCTCTTGGAGGATACCGTCCCCTCACAGCTTTCGGATGGAAAGGGATTTGGACATGATGAGGGTTACGAAGGAGGATGTCACGGCTGGCTCAATGACAACGCAGAGTTCGAGGCTGTGGTTGCCTTGAGGTTTGCGCCTGACATGGTGCGCTTCAGGACCTCCCCACCGCGTCCCTGTACAGTTCCATGACTATCCGTGTGCTCTTTGTTCTCTTTGTGCATGTGTCGAGCGACGCAGTGGAACTGCTTGGGGCAAAGCAGACAGAGCAGGCGGAAGCAGGCTCCTTTCCAAGCAGCTCAAGCATTAAGACACGTGCCACTCCGTGCCCCGACTCGCCACAGCCGTCCTTGAGATTGCCATGAGAGCTCGAACGACCGAGAACCGTAGTCCCAGGGCCCACAAAGTGGTCCGGAATCTCCCCGCGTCTCCTCCAACGCGTTATGCTTCTGAAGACCCGGAGTGCACTTAGTCTTCACAGCACCGGGCTAACTCGTCACCAGGCCACGACTCACAGTGACTTACAGTCCACTCCCAGATCGGGCCTCTCGCGGTCATCGTCCTGGCAGCTTCGAGGCTTCGAGCTGCCCAAAACGATGTGCAGCGGCACGAACCTCAGAACGGTCCTGGGAGTCTCCCCACTTGACGCGCGAATGCCTGCAGGTGTGGAGCTTCTAAAAATCACATGGCCGGGCCCCTACGATGCGAAGACGTTTCTCGTGTCGAATGGTGACTGCCGCTTCTCTGGCTGCCTAGCTCGGTCATGGCAACTCTGGTTTCCACTCTAGTCCTGTTTCCCGACACAAGGTTCACAGCATTGGCTTCCTGTCTCATTGGCATTTCATTTCGCTCGCGTCATCCCAGTTCTCCCCTCCCTGTAACCTGTCAACACCTACTGTAGCATCCAGTTCTTGGTCTTGGCGTGCGGCGCGCTTTGCCGGTCATCCGCTTCCGTTGAGCCCTGGACATGACCAGGGGATGGGCGCTAAGACTCGGGAAGGGCGTGGAGGCCTTGCTGCCAGTTTGCTATGCAAGACGTGACGAAGACCTGGCCTTCTCTCCACCTACGACCCTACCAGGAAGGCTAACACCTCTGTGGATCCGAGGGCAAAGGATTCTGAGAAAGCCTTCGGCTCCTGCTTCGGCGAGGCCCACATCTCCTCCGCACCTGTCAAGTCTTAGAAACTCGAAGAGGCTCGCACTGTAAAAGGGCAGCCACTCCTTTGGCACCTTGGGCGCAAGGCGCCTTGAAAACCCCGCAATAAACACGGCGACTACGTCAAGAAGACTAGGAAGAGGATGCTCTCCACATGTGTCCTAGAGATCTTCGAGTTTCTCCTACACATAACCCAGGTATCTTTACAAAGCTATAAATCCCGCTTGTTCCCTGTTTATCACCCGCATACTTGCTTTCAGTGCGATGCATTCTACAGAGTCAGCATGTGTAGTAACGAGTTAGTACCATACGGCGGAGCTGTGCAACCCTCAAGATAACATGCAGCCTGGATCCTTCAGGCCACTTCGGGGCCGCTTGGGGCTGGGGCCCGGGCCTGGAATCTTGCCCCACACAGGAGCATACTCTGGCGGCGGGGTCTCGCGATCGGCAGGAGAACTACCTCGGTCCAGGCATTGCTTTGCACCCTCGGTCGATACACCTTCACTTTGTTCTGTAGGACGCAACTTGCCCATACTGCAGTCCTGTGTCTCGATTAGGAGCCAAGTATCGGGACAACCCTCGAGACTCAAACCTATGGCAGCCTCTGGCAGGTCACTGCGCAGACCTGCTCCTTCCGCTTCCGCTGCCACTGCTATCGTGTATTTACCTGCTACTGCTCGAATCTCTCGGAGCACGAGCTGCCTCCAGACCAGGCGGTGCGAGGTGGTGGCCAGCCGGGTGCCTCAGATTTTGCGAGGAGGGACTTGGTGAAATCCTCATGAATCAAAGCCAGGATGGGGAGAACCGTGAAGCCACTCCAATGGGCCTATGAAAAGCAGCAGCCTCAGCAGAAGCTGGATGGATTTGGTGCGTCGGCATCTTCATGAAGGCATGCCAAAGAGGCAGCACTCTTTTTGTACCGGTGGCTGCCACTCACAGCTCGTATGAGGCATGAGGGAGCAACCCTCGATAATCTGGAAATTCCTTATGCTGCCTTCATCACATCTGTGCTCATGACATAAGGCAACCGTTGTGCGAGAGTCTGTGCTTCGCTAACTTCTCTGCGTACGATGAGCTTCTTTAGCTTTCGACACACATGCAGCCTAGAACACCCGCATCACAGCGTCGGTGCAAGACGCCAGGCACGTTCTCACACTTGGCTACTCGCGTTGGGCTTGTCTAGGGCCGGGGTGCGATCAGAGTTCTGCTTGGAATGGCTATCCTTCAGTTGCCAGGGGGACTGGAGCACCATGACTCCTTCCCTGGTGAGATGGCCACGCTACTTCACTGGAGGCCCAGCGACTGCCTTCGCAGGAAGATGAATGCCGAAGGGAAAGCGGATGCCGCTGGAGAGCTCTGATACTTGCGGGTGACATCGGCAGCCCTTGATTTGCTTGAAATGATTGAAAACTACCCGGCAACGTCCAGGAGCCTATCCTTTACCTGAGACGTGCGGTGATGAGGTGACGTGTAGTCAGATCCAGTCCTGAAGCTTCTGACAGTCTGGAAAGCTGCAACACCACTATGCTCTGTCAGCGTTAGTCCGGAGTACACCCTCCGACTTAAGCCTGAAAATCCAAAGCTTTCCACTGCCGGGCTCCGGTGCCTCCATCATCTTGGGGATTGTCCAGCCTGCATCATGTTTGCAGGAGACGCAGGCTTGCAGCTAACAGAGCTTCTTTTACATAATCCTCACCACCCACTTCTGCATCAAACCTGCAGCGTGCAGCTGCCTAAACCTCAGTTCGCCTGGCGCTCTTTCCGTGCCAAACAGACCCAGCCTGTCCTGCTGCGTGCTGCCGAGCCAAACCCCATAAGTCTTTGCACAGTCCCAGCCAAGCCTGCAGGAATGGATGGCTCCATTGACGCTGGTGCTGGCGGCGGCACTGCCACGAGTGCTGGAGCAGGTGCTGGAGCTCCACCACCTTGGGCAAATCCATAACGATTGGACTGGCCACCCCCGATTCCAAACGCTAGCCGCTAAGCACTGGATCAGGTTCCATGCAACCAAGACTGCGACACGACGGTGTGAAGGCCTTGCAGCTGTCCTGCAGAGTGTCTGGTTCGCAGTCTGGCTGCTGCCGAGCACTTGTGTTCTTCGGTGGTTTGCTGACATGCTCTCTCATACCCGGTTTTACTCTTCGGCTAGACATCATCACTCAAGCTCAGAGATCAACTGCGAAGAACCTTCAAAATTCACCACTGCCGGGTCCAGCTCTGGCTGCACGCATGCGGGCACAACTGGGTCACAGAAGAGAACCTGAACAGGACGATCAAGACACAACCCCGACATTCTTGATTCTTCTTTTCGTAATTAGCTGATTAGCTTCGCTGTGGGATGCTGGATTTGGGACTCATGTGGCTGGATGCTATTGCCACATAGGCACAGATGCAGACCCCAAGGCATTTGCACGACCTTGATCGACAATGACAGCGGTTGTCCATAAAGGTTGACTTGACTCTTGCCGCACGAATCACAAGCCCCTTCAGACCTGCACCTCTGAGAAATGAATCTCTGAGTAGGCTGATACGAAGAGGTATGCAACCTGGTATTGAAACCCGAAGGACCGTGATGCTGCTCCGTCATGCGCCTGGCCAGGAATCACGGTGTCCAAGTGGCCGGTGTCGGGCCCGCTATACCTTTTGTGGGTTGAGGTTTTGGGAGGCTTCATTCAGTTCAGGGACGAGGCTCGGACGAGGGAGGGGAGTATTGCATTGTATTTCAAGGTCGTAAGTTTAGAGCTCAGCAAGACAGTGGCCCGAGGTTGCTTGAACACAGCAGTCAAGCCACTTCAGCTGAATCGATCGGCTGTCCCTGTCCTTGTGGCAACAACAGAGGTCTTGTCAAGCATGTCCATCGAATGTTCGTATGGCATCTGCTGTTGCCCTTCCGGCAACCTGTTTCAGGGACGGGTCCCTGCAGCTGCAAGGTCGAAGCTTGTGACATGTGTGCTTGAAACATCAGTTTGCAGCAGCGGCCGGCAAGTGCAACCTAGTATGTTCGCATGCGCTAGTGAAGAGCAACATGTGCACTGCATTGCACTGCCATGAAATTCGACCGGTCGTGAAGGAGGACTTGTCTCAACTGATCCCGGGCAGCACAACTTCAGCTGGGCATCTGCTTTGACGATCACTTCCACACAGTGACCTCCTGCTGTCAGGTGCCTCAGGAAGCATTCCAAGCATCCATAGACATCTACGAGCGCGCACATGAAGACCAAGTGCCAAGGTGCAGCTCTCCGGGTTTCCCTTCGGCGGCTGCAAAGGCGGGAGGAAAGGCCGGCGCGGGGGCGGGGGCGGCCTCCAAGCGTCTTGTAGCATGCAGTGATGCCGCTACGATTTCTCAACCCAGCAGGTGTCCTACTTCCTTGACCGCAACAGCCGTTTGAAGTGAGAGCTTAATATGCATGCGATTTCTGGGCGGCTGCACCAGCAAACCTGAGCACGCTCGTGCGGGCGAAGCCCGGCATCAAATCCGTGAATACAACCCTCACCTCTCCAGCCGGCGCCGGTGCAGGTGCCGGCATTGCGGCGACAGCGGGCGCAGGTGAGAGTTGGCCTTCAAAATTCTGAAGGAAGGACTCGGACATCAAATTTTGGCAGGGAGTCTTCAGGGTTCCTCTGACCCTTAGCCTCGCCTTTCCTTTGCCTCCGAAGCCTGGGGAGACGGCGAAACAACAAATAATCCATGAATATATATATATATATAT